ATTCCTCAAGGATGTCCGACTTGAGTCTTCCTTACTGGAGAGAGGGGGTGTGGAGATTCAAAACGCGGCAGCAGTTCGATACCATAGTAATTGCGTCCAGCCCGTCCAAACAACTTATCTGAAAGCATCACACATGTCTGCTTGAATGTGCCTAATAGCCTACCTTTCTCAAAACGTCTGCGTATGAACACGTTGCTCAAAACACACTTGATACGTCCATTTGCTTTAGTTCCTTCGGGGAAAACAACATCACACAAGTCCAGCAGTGATAGATTCCCATGGAAAGGGGAACCAACACGTATTCTTCGGCAAATGAATGTTTAGATGTTCCAAGAAAGCGCCACCCTGCATGAGGTTGTTCTTTCACCAAAGCCAGTTGCTCCAAAACAATGGAGATCCAACAAGTCTTAGACAAACAACTGAGCAAGACTTGCCTCAGTCCCATCATCAATATCAAAGGAAAGGACGGGGCAAGCCCGCTTGGCTTGCACTTAAGGCACTTGCGTGTCGATATGTCCAAAGTCAAAGTGTGCTCAATCGGATGGCTAGCCTGAAGCGGAGCTCTGCAGCTCTGCCACCTTTCAACATGCCTAGCCCTGTGCAGTGTGATCAGCATGGCCATGCCCACATTAGAATGTGCCAGCCCTCAGGACCCGGATGCATGCTTGGCAATACGCGGACCCAGGCTTGCAAACGACATTGTCATCCTGGAGAGGGATGCATTCAAAGCTTGATGAGCATCCCAAGGTTGGCAAAGGAACAAGCAAGGACTGGGTACGAGCAGCTGCCGGTGTGTCTTTCCGAGCCTGCCTCTGAAACTAGGAAACTCGGATGCAAGGCTGTGAATCACCATGCAACCGGCCTTCCATGCTTGGACTTGTGGGTCCTAGGCAACAGGCTGCCGAAGCTCGAGGAGTCCCGAGAACATCGGCGATATGAAGGACATGAGACACTCGCAGTTGCCCAAAGGACCTGGAACTAAAAGGCTAACCTTTTGGGGGCCATGGCTAAATATGGGCCAAAATCGGAAAACCAAAAGGTCAAAAGGTCGCCTTTGAACAACTGAGCACTACAACGCTTCATCCTTCTAAAAAGGCCAACGGCGGTCCAACGTCGAAGGACCATTGCCCCTCTCGAGCCACCCTGTCGCCTCCATTGCCCGCGCACTGCAGGCAGGCCGGCAGGCCGCGACGAAAGCGGAGGGCCAAGGCAGAAGGGTGCTCGTTCAGAGGTTGCAATTTTGTTCATGCATTTTGGAAACCAAACTGCAAACAACTGAGAGCACAACTGGCCAGGGACCCCCATTGGGTGTATATAGCTGCTTCCTGGGGCGGTTCAGGGCAGAGAAGAGCCCACAAAGGGAAGGCGCACGCTGGAGGTAGTTATACTACTTGAATCTCAAATCCCTTGCAAAAAACAGAAGCAAACACAAGAACAAACAAACGTGACACCCCTTTTGAAAAGCAGCGGTCACTTGATGTTTAGTTTAGCAACCGAGCTTGACACCGTCTTAATATGTGTCCACTTCCCTGACGCAACATATCCATTTTGTGTTCGGACGCTGCAGCTGTCAGAAGCTGTGACCTCCCGGAAGGGTTTGTAAGTCCCACAAGCCTCACCCAGCGACCAGTCGCACATCGGATCCAACAAAAGAACCTCAAGCCTTTCATCACCAAAGCATACATTGAAGGTAGCACAGGGGAGACAACTAAACCAACTGAAACCAATAAGGATACATAACCAACTAAAACCGGCTACGGTACGCACAGGCTGGATACATTGAACGTATGGGTCGAAACGGAAAAGGCTTCTGGCTTCTGGCGCTTGAATGCGCTGGAGCCGCAAGCCGGCGGAAGCAAGGAGTTCCAAGTATTGCCGGCTGGAAGGCGTACACCCTGCAACATGGAGCCTCCAGGCTGGATGAGATCTAAAGGGGGAAGGGGTCCAAGATAGGATTTTCCCGAAGCCTTCCTGCGGAACGAGGGAATTCTAGGGAACGCTAGGGCTCTCAACTACCCACCCCCCTGAAACCTACCCTTAGAGCTTCGACAAGGAAAAAGAAGTCTGTCTCCTCTAAGACTGAGTGTTTTAGGCTCCCTTGGCAATTTGCGACAGGTCCACCGGATCTGCGATTAACTCCTAAGCCAAAGGACCCATTGCATGAGGGAGGTTCCTATGTGGGTGTTCAAAAAATGGGAAAGTCCAATCAGAAGAAGATTGCTATTCTGAGGGGCGCCTGCATTTAGACAAATACACAACCAAAGTTTGAAAGGTCAACTGGAATCTTCTTTGACCTCCGGAGCCCAAAGGGCCCTGCCCAGCCGGGACCAGCCAGCGATAACAATCTTAAGCACTGCAACGTTGACTCCTGTTTGATAAGCCGCCTTAATACAGACTGCACGATTGCCAGCCAATACTTTAAAGGGCCCGCATAGGGTGTCCTTTGCACGCACCAACCCCCCTGATCCTGGCACCCTCCAGCCCCAAAATGAAAATCCAAACGCAGTCTCCTTTCACATTCCCACTGCTGTCTTATTGGCCAGGGACTGGAGATTTTATGAGACACCAAAGGAGACTGGGAGACCTTCGGGTGGGTGACCGTGGCCAGGAAAACCCTAAATCGTCGCGGGATTCCGGGAAACCGCATGGTGCCTTCGCCTAGGGCCCTGGACCCAAACTCGCCCTAGAAGCAACATGGATCCCGGCTTCCATGGCAAGGGAACTCGCGGGCTAGCCAAAACAGTGATCTCCCGGCTCCTTTCCTGCTCTGGGCGCGGGTTGGGAATGTATTGGACGCCACCGCTTTGTTTTTCCCACGTTGAGCTCAGATGCGGTGCTCGTAGGTGCCCGCCTCGACGCCAACGTCGAGCAACCCGGCCGACCAACAACGAAGGGCCCATAACCCAATCACGAAGGAGCCTCAAAAAGATTGCCCCATACCGGGGGTTCCCTTTGCCCGGCATCATATTTCCAGGGCAAGCGGCAAACGGCTGCTTCAAACCGGATCAGCAGGACACTTTTCGGAGTCCTGGAGTTTAAAACCTCTCATGATAGGCCCAAGCCTGTTTAAACTTGTTATTATTTATGCAAAAAGACAACTGAACTTGTGATTCCCCTGGCAAATCCCACGACCACTATGCCTGGCTGGATATCCAAAAAGATCACGACTGTTCACATGCTGTCTCGCCACTCTTTAAATGGCTGACTCAATTTGACGCGTTCCTCTCAGCATCACGTAGGCAGCCAAGTTTGACGGACGCCCGAATTGCCCTTGGAGCCCATCGACCGACAGTGATGGCATCCACTTCAAAGCGCCATTCCCGGTAAGCTGCCACTAAGTGCGCCGCTTTGGTAAGATATCGGATCCACTTGATGGGCTTGTACTGACCTAAGCAGCATCAATACAGCCAAAGAACATCACAGGCAGGATGTGAACGACATGTGCCTGTCAGCCACAGGACCAAACTCCAGGGCGTGCTGAGTCTGGCCGGAGTTTAGTCCCGTTTGGGGTGGATTGCAGGGAAATGAACAGGAAACCATGTTCAAGGCTTCCCTATTGGAAATGCCCACGATCCACATGGCCAAGTTGCCAACTGTGAAACTTGCATGCCTTCCGCTATAGAAACCTGATGTTATGGGTCTGCTTTTTGTTCAAAGGAACCCCAAAAAACGCCCACCCATTTGGGGCATCCTCAGATTTTAAACAAACCCGTATAGAGCGTGTCCTGTCTGATGGGACCAACATAGACCTGAGACCACCTTGCAGCCACCGTTCAGTTCCCGCTGAGGTCGCGGCTCTTCTCCTGCACTTTGAGAAAGCGTACCTTCAACCTGAGACTGACGCCAGTGTGCGAAATCCCTTGAACATGGAAAATATTGATTTCGTTCGTTCATTCCTTTGGTGCGGCCCAATCACATGCTTGGATGTTCGGCCAAGTTAGGAGGTGGAAAGCTACTTGAATGATAAAGCGCTAATAGCAGGCTTCACTCCACGCAGGGGACTCGTCTGTGGGTTGTGAGTTGCAACCATGATTGTGGGTAAGTTGAGAACATGATTTCCCCGCAACTTGCGAACACTTCGCCGCGCACCAAAGCTGGTGCGGGGAAATCGGAGCCACGGGGAAGTTGATGCCCACAGCGCCATGGCCACGGTTCCGGGTCACGGGATGCCCCCTTCAGTTGATCTTTTGACCGTTTGACTAGTGGTGTTCAATGACATGCTGCCACTTTGGGGAGTTTAAAGCTAACATACATCTTGCATATATATATATATATATTATAAGCATACACATATCTCTCTATATTTATATAGACACCAATATACATATGTTCGTATAATATATATATATATATACATAACAGCATACAAGGGTGGGGGAAGTCCAGGGAAGCCCCGGACACGACTTGCCCCCCACTGTCCAGTACGTCGCGCCCAGCACGGCAAAGACCAAGTTGCCAAACCTTCAACGTGGATGTTGTCCGCTCAAGTTCTTGGAACTTCCTTGCAGGTTTCTTGGGGACCGGTGAGGCGTCCGAAGGGAAGGCTAGGCTGGAGTTATTAGCTCGTTTTGCGGGACATGGAGTGGACATGATTTTCCAAGTCTTTCTGATGTCCACACAAAAAACTCCAATTCAAAGCCTTCACTGAATACCTTTAGGCTTCCCCAATATGAAAAAAGGAAATCCATCTCCGGGACCCTATACAGGTGTCTTTCTGAGCTGGCGGCTTTTTCCCATGAGACATCTACCCAAACGGAAGGCCCTCTCATGAGAAGTTTGCATTGGAACTTTGAGCGCGCAGTTCTAAGACTCCAAGAACTTTATTCAGCAAGGGAGTGCACGCACAGGGTCGCCAAAGACAGACAAGGGTTGCCCTTAGTGGCCTTTGATCTACTTTTGATCACCAGCCATGGCTTTACATTGGCTACAAGCTGAGGCACTTTTGGGGAGGAGCGAGTTGTCCGGACGGACGCAATGTGTCCCCTGAGCTCAGTTGTTTTCCTCAGGAGTCTTTGTCCTGATCTTGATCCGTTTGGACCCGTCTCCGCTTGGGTTTGGGGCCTTCCGACTCCAAGAAATGCGCCACTTCCATGTGCCCATTCCGCTCCGCCGCCTGGAAGGCCCGCTTGTCCTTGGCGCCCGCTTCTAGCAAGCACCTCACAACCTCCATGTGGCCGCTTGAAGCGGCAAGAAGTAGAGGGGTAAGTCCCTCATTGTCGCCATTGTCCTTGTCAGCGCCGGCTTCCAGCAAACAACGTACCACTTCCACATGGCCTTTCCGGGCAGCAAAAAGTAGGGGCACACATCCTGCATCATCGCCTTTGTCCTTGTCAGCGCCGGCTTCTAGCAAGCAACGCACGACTTGCGCATGCCCTCCCATAGCAGCGTAATGCATGGGAGTTAGACCATCATTGTTGCCTTTGTCCATGTCAGCGCCGGCTTCCACCAAACAACTTGCAACTTCCACGCTGCCTTTTAGGACAGCAAAATGCAGAGGCGCGCGTCCAGAATTGTCGCCTTTGTTCTTCTCAGCACCGGCATCCAGCAAGCAGCGAACAACTTGCAAACGCTCTGCCATAACAGCATGATGCATGGAAGTAAGTCCATTACCGTCAACTTTGTCCTTGTCAGCACCGGCATCCACTAAACAACATGCCAATTCCAAATGGCCTTTTCGGGCAGCAAAATGAAGGGGCACACATCCGCCGTGGTCACCTTTGTCCTTGTCAGCGCCGGCTTCCAACAAGCAACGCACAACTTCTGTACACCCTTTCACACAAGCGTGATGCATGGGACTAAGTCCATCCTTGTCACCCTTGTCCTTGTCAGCGCCACCTTCCATAAGGCAAAGCACTGCTTCCATGCGCCCTCTTGCAGCTGCATGGTGCAGGGGAGTAAGGCCACAATTGTCGATGCTTTGGCTGTTCGCACCTGCCTCAAGCAAACACCGTACCATTTTCACGTTTCCTTTCAGCGCGAGATAATGCAAAGGCGTGCATACCTCGTTGTCGCCTTTGTCCATGTCAGCGCCGGCTTCCAGCAAGCAATGCACAATTTCCGTATGCTCTCTCAAAGCAGCATGATGCATGGGAGTAAGTCCGTCATCATCGCCCTTGTTCTTGTCAGCACCGGCTTCCAGCAAGCAGCCCAGCACCTGTGCCTGACCTGTCATTGCGGCAATATGCAGGGGGCTGAATCCATTGCTGTCAGCTTTGTCCTTCAAACTGCCAAGTGAATTTGTGGGGACCCTTTTCAGGACTGACCATCCTTAGAGGGGAACCACCGAATATTGCTACTTAACAACATTACCTCGCGATCAAGGAAAACAACATGTGTAACTACTGTGGATGGACAAAATCTCGCACCACTTTCAATCCATGGGAAACCATAGTTTGTTGGTATTTGCAGGGGCATCATCATTCCAGGGTCTCTGTGGTGGTGTAGGATTTCGGCCAGCCACAGTATTATGCTACCACTGCACGTCTGGGTCCTTGTCAGCGCCAGCCTCCAGCAAGCATTGCACGATCCGCGTGTGGCCACGCCCGGCAGCATCGCCCAGGAGGGTGGTGCCGAGCCCTCTTCTCGCAGTCGCATTTGGGTCAGAAGGCTTCCTGGGCGCAAAAGAAGAAATCTGGAGAAATCCAACAAATCATACCCCCCCCCTCTCCGCCTCCTCTCAGGAATCTGCAAAATGCAAAAAAAGAAGAGTTTCCATCCCCTTCTTTTCAGGCTCCGACAACAAAGAATCCATTCTCGCTTGGTTTCTTTTGGGGGCCATTAAACAAAATATGTGCTATTTGGCGCCCAGGTTCTCCAGCAGTTGTATCAGCCCTTCGCAGTCTCCCGTGTGGGTTGTTGCGAATAAGTCCGCCTCTTGCGCAGTCGCAAAGGGTCGCAAGATTGCCACCAGGGCGTCGGTGCTGTTCCATAAAGCGTCGTGCCCAAGCACGCGGTCATCGCACACCAAGATCCTGGGCTTTCACCATTTGGTGGTGGGTACCCTGTTTGGGGTTGGGAAGCCAAATTAGAAACGTGCCATTTTGGGGACCCCATTCACACCCAAAAGGTTGAAACGGTGCCAGTGAGCCGAAGATCAGACGCCTGAAATGGCCCAGGTGCATCTGCTTTGCCAGATGTTGCCTCAGCACATCTACGAAAGCTGCACCAGTGTCCCGCCCTTCCTGCGTTGATTGCCACCATTCCTCGAACTCTTCCCCTGTCATCACCTCCCGGCCGCTTGACAAGCGGACGCATGCCATGGCAGATATCACAAATATTCAGAACAGCAGAAGCCCGAGACAACGAAGACGGCCCCAATTGTTGACTATGCTGGCCCAAACATGCTTGAACAAGTGCTCCCGATGAGCTCAATGTCCAACTGGAACACTGTGACTTGTGCAGACCCAATCAACACCGTGATTACGCGTTGTGTTGTGAGGTTTATGCATTCCCTTTCTATTCTTAGACCAAAAAAGACCAAAGGAATCTGGAGGTTGCTGATGTCTGTCTTGTCGGGGCCGCCTGACGCCGGACAGTCAGAGCATCACAACTCAATGGTGAGACAGTTCCATTGCTTTGAGTGAGGCTTGGGGGATGACCTGTCAAACAAAGGAAATGCGCAGAACAGGGTGTTTCGTGCAGTGCATCCATTTGACCAAGTCCCAAATGGGAGGGTTTCTGCAATTTTATGTTATTCAAGAATGTTCCCGAAGGATTTCTCCATTATCAACGAAGTCCCAGTGGTTTCGTCACTGTTGGGATTCCGAACCATGCCTTTCATGATCCACCCCGAGTACAATTCATGCTTTACAGATAGTTCTGAGTCTGCAGGTGCGCCAGGTCTATGTGGCATGATCAGGGATCCACTTGGCCGGAACTACTTTTCATGAGTCACTATCCTAATTGATTCCTGAGTGCGTGTGAACGGGGCAGCCTGGCAGGTTTGAAGAAGATACAAAGCATAATACCTAGCATGACAATGGAACCATCCTAACTCTACACAGGTCCATGTGTTGCCCTCATTCCAGACCACTCTACAACCACCCCGCAGGCGCAGTCACCCATTGCAACAAGGTCGACGCACCTGGGGCCGCGAGCCCGGACGCCGTGAACTGAGGCACCTCGAAGTTCATGGTGATGGGGGGTCGCACCTGCGAACTCGTGGTCATGGAATCCCCCAGGCGGGGGTGGTCTAAGAGGAGGGTCCCTACTGCTCTCAACTGCGTTCGCGTCTCTGATTGACTTTTTTTGCTTTTTTCATTATAATTGTCTTCACATGGACCCATATACACAACTATAAATATATATATATATATGTATATATAGTTGTGTGGGTCTGTATGCGCTTGTCTCGCAAGCTGAGAGGCATGAACATTTTGATGAAATTCTGCATAATCTTCGCCGCTCACTTACAAGCAACACCTCCGATATGCGCCGATTTTTTCCTCGCATGCAGGTGATGGTCAATGGCCTTTGGTACTATCGATGGATCAGCACTGACAACCAGCGCATAGCCATTCCATATTTGCTGGTGCTCGGTCACACCTTTGATGTACCAAGCACCAACTATGGTTCTGCAGTTGTTGCTCGTGTTGCTGTTCTTCTCCCCAAATGGTTCCCTAAATCTTGCACTTTGTGAACAAGGCATTCCTGTGCATTATTTACTTCAGCGGCTCGATACCACCTCAAGCAACCCATAACATGCTGTGATTTGGTCATGCATGCGCACAATCGGTGGTCGAAGAGAATGTTGAATTCAAGCAACTACGCACACACGCACGAGCACGTCAATCTGCAATGTTGCCGAAAGCATCACTGGCCGAGATGCCCGAAACCTTCATCCCATGTGGCTACGTATTTAGTGAGAAATAGTTGCAAAAGGATCAGTGGACATGAATCACTGTGTAATGTTGACCCCGGATTAATAAACCCCAATTTATACATAGGGGGGTGTTCCCTCCAAAAGTCATGATTCCCACTAAAACCAGGGACACCCCCATATAAATAAACAGGGGTTTATTAATCCGGGGTCAACATTAAATGTTGTCCACCAAGGCTCCTCCAATTAAACCAGGACAGAACACCTGTACCCAAAGCAAACCAAGGCAAAGCCAAGAAAAGCAAATAAGATTGGCAAATCAAGAAGCAGCGTGTCAAAACTGGAGACCCTTCTAAGTGCTAGACATCATTTGGTCAGTTTTCCGTTTCCAGCAGGGGCCCCCTTTGTGACAGATTTATTGCCATGGCATTCTCACATACCCAAACACTGACCTGACAATACTCTACTCTACCGTCCTCCAAACTTGTTGTTTCAGCTGTGTAACTGGGCGACATCCTATGCTCCTCCAAAATACCCCATCGATCCAAGGCGAGTTCCTCCTTGCCGGCAATCGCAAGCTCTCCTGCCGCACCAACACTTAGGCAGCTTGCAAATCGCGAGGCGACAGCAGGTGCTGCGATTTTCCGAGGTGTCTTATTCGCCCAAAGCTAATGCGCGCATGAGACAAACACAGCAGTCGGGTGTATGCAACTTCATTGCCCATATGCCTCGGCTATCACGTGGCTTAGGAGTTCATGTAGCATGCCTACAATGTGGGCAAGGTCTATTTGTGTGTGTTTGGTTTACAAACTGTCAAAGCCGAGCCGTATGGGAGATGGACATAACTTCCGCGCTGATCCAATGGAAAGACACAAAAAACAAGATGCATACAGATTGAAAGATATCTCCTCTATCAAAGCAGGCAAGCAATCGCCAGCGCAGCCTATTAACGAGAGCTCTGTCTAGGTAAATAGTTGCAAATCTGTCTCTGCCCCCTTTGAGCACATTGATATTGATCTAGGCGGTCACCTACCCAAAAGTTGATGCTTATTGTTTTGAAGGTTGTTCATGTTCAGTGTGATTGAGACGGGTCCAAACCTGTAGCCTACAAATCAGAACAAGGCAAGGTGCTTTAAACAGCCAACCCTACAATTGACAATGATTTGCAGGGATGCAGTTGGCTATGCCATACGTCGGGACCAAGGTTCTTCACAGTCCAGCGTGGTGTAGGTCAATGTGTGTCAAACAAAATTGGGTTTCGAAGTGACCTCCCAAATGGCATGCGTTTGAATAAGCTGGCAGCATTGATCTTTGAGCCTGTGACAGCGCTACGCACGTTTGCCATCAAGCACACTGCAAAACAGCCGACTTGACACCCCCGTTCTATTCCCCAGTTCCCGTGCTTTCCAGCTTGGTTGTTGGCTTTTTCAAGCAGAACTCACGCAGTTCTAAATTCTGGGCGACAATTAAGCTCAACTGGTTCCAGCCACAGAAGATCCTTGCAAACTTCCTTTGATGAATCACACTTGTCAGAGAAAGTGCCAACAGACATGCTCTCTGGCGTGAGTACCGCTATCCCTCGCAAAAGAAAGCACAAGACCCACCCAGAAAACAAGGAGAGCTGGGGAACCCAAAAACCAAGATGTGAACAAATAGTTTTTGTGAATGACTGTCAGCGAACCCAACCCCAGAGGGCTTTTTGGGGAAAAACAAGTCACCATGAAAGACTCCAACATCAGCCAGCAACGCCATCGAGTGAGACTCTTGGCCAGCCGACCGCTCAGAGTAGTGTACACCTCGCGACGAGCGGTGAGGGGCACCCAAGAGTTGCTATGCATCTACTCATTCAAGAATGTGATTCCACTGACAGTGAGCAAGATGGAACCCCCTATTCAACTTTGAAGCAGTTCAGGAGCTACGCATCATAAGCATGGGTTGTTTTGGAGGGGTCGCACTGGCACCCTGATGTAAAAAGCTGACTCGCAGGAAAACAACGGAAGGCCCCCGCGAAGGATTTGAGACTCTTCTGCGTGATTGCGCGATTGGGGTTCCCAAAAAGCGATTATTACCCTTGCAGCCTTAGAAGGGATGCTCAAAAGGTTTCTGGGAACCCTTCTGGGCAGAAGAACCGCCCTTGCTGCATTTGCTAGAAGGCATAGAACAGTAGTTACCTGCTCGATTTCACACGATTCTGCATGTGGTACTATAATTCCAAACCTGAAGCACGGGGTCCACAAGGGATTACCCAAGCAGCCACTTCATGGTGAGCTCGCGCAAAATCCCTAGGTGAGCTCGCCATCAAATAGGCTGCTGTATGTCTTCGTTACAATTGCAGTCACGCAACGCTTGAGTCACGATTCGGCTGTAAAGCAACCAGGGCCCATCCAGTCAATTGAGGGTTGAGCTGCATGAGTCACAAGCAGGACCGCCAAATCAAACAACCCTTTTGTCACAAATTCAAACAACTTTTCGACACCAGTGCGGCGCTTGAGGACCTTTGGTTTCCTTCAAGCAACCAAAAGCAAGCCATTCTTGTTTTCGTGCGTCCAGTTCCCCACGGCCTCTGCCCACACCCCTCAGCTGTCAACCCAGGCGCCCCGGCACAGAGGACTTGGAGCCTTTGGACGTCTGCGACGCCGTGGTTTCCTCCGCCTCCATATCCTCCGCGAGGCGCTGGAGCCTCGGACGTGGGTGAGGTGTCAAGGCCCCTTTGGGAGATGGCTGATCTTGGAAGGGCACACGCGCCTTTCAGGAGAGCGAAGGAGGGCTTCCAAAATTCCCTGAAAGAAAAGCCATTCCCGAAGGAATCTCTTTGAAAAACGTTTGGCACACCAAACTTTTGGACTCTTCGCACCTGGTTGGTGGCACCTGGGGCCCTGGCCAGAGCGCAATGGCCTAGGCCATGCTCGAAGGTCAAAACATGTTGGGGGGTGCCCCTTTTTGTTCACAAAGAAACCTTCTGGATGACCCCTTCTCCTTGTTCATCACAGGGCCCATTGTGCTGACACACTCAAACATGCTACAAGGGGCATCAGGAGCTGACCCAAATTCAGGTCACCCCATGGCACACACGAAACTCGTCTAGAAGCAGAATCATTCAATTCTCACACGGAAGGGCACTTCATGGATGAGGTTGCAAGCAAAATCATCCAATCTCTCATTGGTGGCTAGGGGGCGTTCAGAGCCAGGCTTGTGCAGAGATAAGGTGCCTTCCCTCTGACTTGCAACAGCAAGGGGCTGTCCCCTGGTTGCTTTCCCCCAGATGCTCCCGAAAGCAGTAGACTAGCAACCCAGTTGCCCAGTGGCCCGGAACCCTTGTGGGGTTTGACATCTGTGACACAAACCCTCCAAAGAAACAGGACACAAATGGCCTCTGAACAGCTTGGATCGCTTCAAGGCTGGCACTTGGCTCAACTCGATCTTTGCGATCATGCCATCGCCCAGCACGTCGGCCTGGCCCGCCCGCACGGAAGGCTGACATGGATATGTTTTTTTCCTACCTGTGAGAAAACAAATCGCACGTGTTGTTTGATTGGGGTCAAGTGACGCCAGCTGTATAGCTGGATTTGTGTCCACCGATCATTTTGCAGGGTCCCTACCCGAATCGGCACAGCAGTATTGTCCATTGCTGACATGATCATTCCTAGACGAAAGGGTAGCAAATGGAGTCCGGCCACACGCGGATCCTCTCATGAATATGTCCCACCCAAGCATTTCACTACGAGAAACCTTGCAACTCTTAATTGCCATGACACCTTGGTTAAAGTGGATGGCGCAACTTCCTTTCTGCGGGAAAGTGCGGGGCATGATCAAATCCAAATTAGGCAATTGCGCCATCTGCTTTCACCCAACGGTAAATCTGGCAGTGTTTGATCAGTTGCTCACATATTAATTTCGGTACTTGGGTGGCCGGGACTTCGCTGGCAGGATAGATCACCCCAAGAACAGTCTGGGCGTTGTACAATTCACGTCGCATTGAAGGCTACCGAAAGCGACTTCCATTCAATGCGGCCTGGCATGAGAGTTCCAACAAGTGCTTCCATTGCCACAAGAGCCCGGGGAAGGATGTTTTTGGGGGTCCTTCGGATGTTTTTCGGGGTCCTTCAACAAAAAACCGACTAGACAACCTGGGGACCTACGGCTTCTTGTTTTTTTTTTTTGGCGGGGGAACCTGCGGCTTTTTGGTGTTCTTCCATACATCGGAGGCGGGGACATACATACGATCCAACCTGAAGTAGCGCAAATGGTTTTTCTTCGGGTGTCCTACGATTTCTTTCGGGTTTCCCTCGGTTTTGTGTTGGGTGTCCTACGGGTGTTTTTGGGTTTCCTCGATTTCGGGTAGCCCATCGGCCTCCTAAAAGCGCATCATGACACCCATGACCCGCAATCTGTGCATTCTTCGGGGTCCACAAAATAATTGGAGCACCCACATGGCAAAAACAATAGCAAGGTTTGCAGGAAAACACATTAATCGTGCAAGGTGAGGCTCCCCGGTAACTAACTGCATGGACATAGTTTTTTGCTTCTTGTTCTTGGCGCCCCTGAGGAAAAAGCTGGTGTAGGCCCTGGAATAAGTCCCGTGAGTAATCACATCAGAAATGCCGTTGACACAAGTAGCAGCTTTCAATCGTGCTGCCAAAGCGTCAATAACTACATTTGACTTTGCATGGAATGAACAAACACTGACTTTTTCAGGGTGGATGCCTGATAGAACCCTAGCCAGCGCAGGGGATACCAGTACAAATGGTTGGTGTCCAGTGTCCCTTCAAACAAACTTAATCACTGCTCAAGTGCACGTCCCGCTTAACATACAAGCAAACAAAGGGATATACCAAGCCGGGCAGTCCCAGAGACCTCCGAACTAGGTCGCGGCCTAAGAAACATGCTCCCATTCTAACGACAACATAGCCCTTTCCAGCTCCAAATCCTCATTTGTCGCTTTAAGGTCCTCAACATGTTTGCTTGCCGAGAGCCTTGACCTACGACAACGCAAGCTTTGTGAAGCGTTGCGTGAGCGAATCCTTTCTTTCTGCGGCGTAAAGTTGAAGTTGGCTTCCCCACAACTCTTTGGGGCAAAGGCCTCAGGAAGAATAACAAGGAACAGCCTCACAGGGAGGAGGCCAACAAAACAAAACACCAAAAAAAAAAAAAACAAGAGAGACCAGATTGTGGCAAAGACAGGCAGGTAAGTCAGGGGACTATCATTTTGTTCTTGCTCTGTTTGGAGGTTGACCCTCGATTTCGTCCATTGGTTCACTGATTCACTGATCGAAAAGATGGGTACTGCAAAAGGAACACAGTCGCTGAGCTGTGTTTCGAAATTTCCCCAGAGCCCGACCTCAAGGGCAAGGGGAGCTGGGGTTCAAGTTCCAAGCTTCATTGATCTAGTCTTCCAACGGCACAAACACGCAAAGTGGAAAAACGATGGGCTATCATTGGTCTCCTCCCTTCCTGAGTTCACTGGCCAAACCATGTCCAAGCTTGTTGTTCTTCCCAAAAGTTTAAAGTCCATGAGCTCAGGGAGTCAGTCTCGTCAATTTCCCGAATCGATCCAAATCGACAAATCTTCATCCCACAGAACCGGATCGTTGGGGGATCTCTTCCATTAGCCCAATAGTTGGCTAAGAACTGGGTACCCTCCCACCTTTCTTGCATGGAACCTGACTTTCGGGGGGTCCTGGTTTGGACCATTTTAAAAGGGACCGGGTCCGTATCAGGTTCCATGTTAGTTGGGGGGGTAATCGCCATCAAACAAGATTGGTGGAAACACACCAAACTTCCGAAAAATCCCAAGAATGGATGCATGGGCAGGGGCCCAGGGGCTTGGCAAAAGCAAAAAGATCACAGACTGCAACCAGGAATCCCCCCTAAGTCGGGGACCTTCCTCGCGGGTTTCGTTCCTTTTATCCCCACTTCGCCCGCGCTTCCGGGGATCGATTTCGGTGCCTTGGCGAGGATCCAGTCCAGGTCTGCCTCGGAGGCAGGGCGACCTCGGATGCAGCTGCCCGACCCCCCCTCATCCCAATGGGCCCGGCGCGACAAGTTGTACACCTCCCGTCATGGTACGCAGTGCTCCCTGCACGAAAAAGGAATGACGATTCAAACCGGAGCATTTTATGGATTTGCACATGCAAAATTACAGAAAAGGGGTAGGTTCTCCCGGCATTGCCACAAAGAAAGGTTCCTGCGAGACCTTGTGGGCAATATTTGTTGGTGACTTGAGCCGGGCGAGAGACCAATGCGAACCCCTCCAACGGAGTCAAACATTCGACATTGCCTGTTCACGCGAAACAAGTGTTGGTCTAAACCTCGTCCCTGTGCAAATTATGGCCTCTCGACATCAAAGGGGTGCTAGGCTCACTGAGGCTGCCAATCACGAAAGCCGGCCATTTTGGGATCCGCCTCGGCCAGTCCCGTATTTCACCATGCGCGAAGCGGCCAGCCAGCTCCTGTAGCAAGCCGGCGAGCTCTTCTCGGTCCAGCTTCCCGGTCTGGGACTTGTCGTGCTTGTCGAACAGCACCTGCCCAATAGTTGGCGCATGGATCGAGCAACGCCCTAGGAACGCTTCGCCAAATATCGGGTGCGCACAATAGTTTGGTGATGTTTGGTGCGCAAGCCCCTTTTGGAACGTCTCCTTTTTGGGGAGAGAAGGGCAGCAAACACAGGGTGCTGGTGGAAAGTGAGAGGTATGTGGTGCCAAAACGGCAAAGCGTTGCTTTGCTTGTTTTGGCCGGGTGTTTTGTGCCTCTGTGACTTCCTGAGGCGAGAAGGTGCAACAAACTGGGCCAGGGTCTGTTGGGTTTAGGAATGATTTGCGGTTGGTCTAGATTGATTTTGTGTCAGAGCGTTTGTGTTGTTTAATGTAGGTTTTTAGAGTGAGCTTAGGCAAGGGTGTAGGCTTGATTCAGGTTTGAGGATGGTTTTAGGGTAGCTGAATGCAAGGGTTTCAGCCTGGTCCGGGATGGTCTTCAGTGAGGCAGGTGAATTTTGGTTCACAGAGTTGGGTTTGTGGCCGAGGTTTGGTATGGTGTCCAATGTCCAAGTCATTTTGGTTTGGGGTTGGTTTATGGCTGTTTATGGTCTTTGAAACGCCTGGGGCTGGTTTCGCTTTGGCAGCTACAGGGTTTTCTACTGGCATCCAAGGTTCTTTCCGGGCGAAATCGACAAGATAGGTCATCTGATTTGTCGGCGCCCAGCAAATTCCGCTACGACGGCTCCCAAGGCTCCGAAGTCCGGAGTCCGAAGTGGGCCGGCTGAACCTGTAGACTCTCGCCCTTCGATTTCACATCAGTCACAGTCGAGCCAAGACTTTAGGCGCTCGGCCGTTTTCCTCTTTTGCTTTTTCCCTTCTGTCAAAAGGCAAAACAAGCCAAGCACCCGGAAGAAAAGGCGAAGGGTTCAGCGGCCTTGCCAGCGCTGCCTTCGTTGCCGAACTCCTGTAGGTACAGCGTCCAACCTTTGGCTCAAGTAGGCCAGCGGGGGAAAACTCGTGTTTGTGGGATGCCAAAAAAGTGGGAGTTGGTTTGGGGTGGCGTCAAAGAGAAAGCAAAGGGAAGCCTGGCGAAGGTCTCCCTGCGGACTTTGCCGGGTTATGTCAGGGAAGCGAAGGGAATGTGGCCGTCCGGGCCATGGCCCCTGGGGCTTGAGGGCCCATAAGAACCCTTATGCCAATTCCCGAAGAAGTCACCTGCAAAAAGATGTCGTAACCCTAGCTCATGCGGAACAGAACTGGTCTTGACTTTGGTGGCTTTGGGTCAAGCCGAAACAAAAACCATGTTTTGGGTCGCATGGGTACTCTGAACATGGTTTGGACTTTACATCACTTTGAGTCTTGTCATTCAGCAATCCGGAACCTTTGGTGGAACGCGGGCTCCTTTTCTGGAGGCCCAGTTAAGTGTGACCACAGAACCTACCCAGTTTCCCAGCCTGTTGCCAGCACAAGCAGCCTAAAGAAAAGCAACAAGGCTGCCACGCGGCAAGGAGCAAACGTCAACATCCCTCCGAGCCCCGATAACAGAAAACACATTCTCCGATGTTCACAGTGGCATTTTCATTGCAGGTACAAAACGCAGGGATACTTTATAACTTATAATCAGGGAACCCTCGGTTCCTTGTGATTTCCAGTTGAACCAACCTCAAAACAGGTGTCCTTCGATCAAAGTGAGGCCTCCAGTTTTAGCCACATGTGTGCCTCATCCCGCCAAAATATGGGTGTCTGTCTTTTTTGTGGGCACCTTCCTTCTTTGGGTGCGTTCTACAAGAAAGCCAGCCAGTTTTGCTTCTTTTATGGCAACACCCTGTAGGAAGAGCGAAGAGGGTAGGAGATGGGAGGAGAGGGGAGGCGAGGGGAGGAGAAGGGAGGAAAGGGCAGGAAAGGGAAGGAAGGGCAGGGGAAGAGGGGGGAAAAAGGCCTCTAAAAAGAAACATTATAAACTCAATGAATGTTTGAACTCCTAAAGGGAAACACAAGAACAACAAAAGCTCAAGTAATGTTTAAACCCCCCATGAAAGGGACATGTTATGACCCCTGTCTTGCTGCGGTCGATCGGCAGGGAATGAGAAATGGAATGACCCAAGCAAACGCTGCTTCTCACCAGACAAGGGGGAAATGTAAGGACCACCATAAAATAAATAAGCCATCCATCCCTATCATTTCCTGTAAAAGGCTCCCCACAAATCGGTTCATTCTCAACACCCGGTTTCGTCATTCCCTGAGGCTGATGCTCTCAATGGCGCCGGCCAGCTGTTCGCGGCTGATGCGCTGGCTGGCTTGGCAGCCGCTGGTCTTCATGATGAAGCCCAGCTCCTCCTGCGATTTTCGCGGGTCCTCGTTTCCTTCGGGGAGGGGAGGGCTGATTGAAGATGTTTATATATTTCACATTGGGGGGGGGGAGTGAGAGTTTGACAGATTGCTCAGCCCCGTTCTGGGATGAAAGGTGAATCCAAATGAGACGAAAGGCAAGGCGGGTGTCAAAGCTAGGTGAACCGGCTTGGGTGCCCAGCGCAAATAGGTAAAGGCACGGAGGGTTCCAACTGCCAAACTGGTGGACATGTTTCCTCCATGATGAATACAATACATTTAAGGTTTTTAAAAATACCCCCACAAACCAATTCAAAATATTTGGGCTGTTCTAATAGAGCCCAAAGGCCTTTTTGGCTAACAGGTGGCGGAACCTGGGGTCGTCGCTGCACAAATACATCCAAGTACTGTTGCGGCTGTGCGGCTGTGACGGACAACTTCCAAGTGCACCCAAGTGGGTGTGAATCAGGGATCGCTAATGAAGGTGGATCGATAGCGACATGACTTGAAGTGGTGGGTTTATCTCCAAATCGGGAACCTCTAAAAGGGGCTGCAGGGAGTGTTGCGACCAGGCTCCGAGAACAAATTCCCCTCGAACGCATCAACCTCGGCTGGACAGATCCAACACTTCACGGGTGATTCCAAACATCGGAGACCCGGAATGATGCTGAGATTTTCTGTCAGTTGTTGTTCACCAACAAAAGGAGGTGCGTCACGTTGAGAACATCTGCTGGCAAGCCTCCTACGGGTTTATGGAGAATGGACCCAAACTGTGCGCGGATTGGGCTGGACCATCACTGGTGCGATATGGTGGTTGACAAACCTCGAATGCGGGGAAGCATTGCTCAGTGCCACATTTAGGACAACACAAAACAAATTTGGCAGATCAAGGGCCTGTTATCGAACCTGTATAAAGATTATGATCACTCAGACTAGCAACAGGGCAAAAGGCCCGAAAGCCAAGGCTAGCAAGGCTTGGAGACGTTGAAGGCAAAACAACATGATGTCAAGAGTTTTAGGTAGTGTGTGTGTGTGTGTGCCCTATGTACCCCTCGCATTTTTTGTTTTACAATTAGCTTCCCCCCCGGAATTTACTGCAACTCGCACATCTAAAACAAGGATTCGTTGCAAGCAAGGAACCTTCCTGGGTAAAACCTGTCGCAAACCACATCCCCCGAAAGCGGTAAGTTCAAGGGCAACAACAACTACCCTGGAAACATCTCAAGCAAATACTGGGCCTTGGTTCGCCTGTGGAGGCTTGCCTCCGCCACAGCCTCTCACGACGTCACGATTGGAATTTGGCGCCTCATCCGGCTCCCGGCCGTCAGCCAGGCTCGTCAGCAGGTGCTTCACCTGGTTGGTAGGACCCCACCCTGTCTTTCCAGCCGGAACCTGACCTTCGAGTGTCCCTTTTAGAGGGAAATGGTCCAAACCTGGTTGGTTTACCCTCCCACCCCTTTTTACATGGAGCATGACAAAGGGTTTCCTTTAAGAGGAAAATGGTCCAAACCAGGACCTCCGGTATCGTTGATTTACCATGTTTACCTTTTTACCGTTTCTTCACAGCCGAACCTGACGTTCGGGAGACGGTCCCCTTAAAGGGAAAATGGTCCGGTGACCAGGAACCCGAACGTCAGGTTTCCATGTGAAAAGGGTGGTAGGGTAAGGACCCAACTGCCAGTGTGTGGACCTTTTGGTCGAGTCTAGCTAGCACAACTTGCTTTTTTCGGTACCTACTCCTTCCAAAAGTCATGATTGCGCAATTTGCAGATCTCGAAGTTCGAGTACAACATGGCTTCACATGAGTGCGCTTCGTTCTTGGCTTAGCAAAGATCCTTCTCACATGTTGCAGGCACCAAGCTGTGCGGTCTACTGCACAAGCAAGGCCGCTGGCTGCCTCTGGCGAGTGGCTCCAAACCCTTTCATATTTTTCATGAGCAAATGGACAACCCATCACATAGTGGCCACTAACACGTGCCTTGACTGGCCAGTACAAAGTGTCTGCGCTTTGCCGGCATATGTTTAAACAAACAAGACTGCGAATCGCGCAGGGGAACCCATGGGCCAAACTATGGTGGGGTTAATTACCGGTAAATTCCCATGAACACTGCCAAAAAGCGGTAATCTAGGGCATACCGGGTCGCCTTTGGGATTATCTTTGAAAGACCATCCAATCATCTCAAAAGATTCAGCAACAGCCATAATATGGAACCATCATCAACTTTGAAACTTGCGACTTCATCAAGGGGCCTCGGTTGTGACGACCTGTCGTAGGACATGAAGGCCCCCCAAGCGGGCTAAACGTGTTGGGGATGCCCCGTAAAGCGTGGGTCCTCCAGTAGAGAGGTTAGAATAGGGGTATCCTTCTTTTTCCTGTAGTCTATTTTAGTAGGGGAACCCTCTCAACCAAACGGGTGAGAAAGGGCACTGGGGGACCTAGAAGCCCTGACCTTCCCCGCCTCCGAAGCATCCAGAGTGCCATCCCCCGAGCTGTCCAGCCTGAGCCGGGCGGGGGCTTGCCCAGCCTGACGACGTCCCAAGATCTACCTCAAATAACCTTCGGGCTCCAGGGAGTGGAAGGACAGGGATGGGGGGTGGGGTTGCATCCCCGAAATCTCTTGCCCTGGGGGAACCAAAAACTTGAGCTCAGCTCAGCCTCACATGATGAGTGGAAAGTTTTACGCTTCTGATAGTGCTTTCTGCTCGAAAATGAAATGGGTTCCTGTCTGAAGCTCAAACAACCTCCGGAATCCTGCGCCAATGGGCAGACCGGACCACTGGCAAAGTGGGATATCACCTGTACACGGCGAGTGGGACATCACGCAGTGTGCCAGGAGGCTCGATGAGCATGGTCATGACTCAATAATCCGAAATAGCCTTGCGACTGATGCCGAGGCATCACCGTCATGCAAACGAACGGTGGTGCAGGTCAATGAGAGCTTGTTCTTTTCGCACAAAGTGATCTGGGTTCCCTCTTCAATGGGCAGCCCCCAACAAATCAACCTAGGGTGTGTCAATCCTTGGTGCTAACTAATTATTTCAACGCTTTCCGGAAAAAAATCATATCACGAATTTGAAGTAAGGCATCTCCAAGTAAAAGACCTTCATGAATTTTCGCTCGTCTCACCCGGGAATTTGTCTCACAAGTTTTCCCGAACTAGCGCTGGCCGCCGCTTTTGAGGCGAACAAATCGGGATCGGACAGAGGTGCTCTCTATGAGTTCTAGCATTCAGGGTTTGGACTGCGCACGCGCCAAAGGAGACGTTCTCCGAAACGAAGTTCCAGATACGGCAAGTCTCCAGCGGCCCGCGCCATCTCCAACTCGCCGGCCGCGAGCCGGCGTAGGGGCATGGAACCAGGGAAAAGGAAGATTCCTGCCTCAAACCCCGTTCAAAAGTCATTGGGCACCAAAGGATCTTCGAATGACGCGTGGCCCAGCCCATTTGCAAGGCTTCCATTTCTAGCCTCCATATAGTTTGGTACAGGTGGTTGCCTCAGGGGGAAATAAAACAAAACCCCAGCGCCGTCGACTCGAGGAATCGGCTCTTTGAAGAGCTCGTCCAGACGATCCTTGCGCTTGTCTCCTTAGGATTTGCATTGCTCGAAATCCATGTCGGTTCGCGGAATCGCTGGAAAGGTTGAACGGTCTCGGCCCTTCCTTCTTCAATGCCCAAAGTTGGTTCTCAAAACGAAGACACCATGCCATGATTGTTCCACGACAAAACCAATGTTTTGCCAAACCTTGCATTGCCTGTTGAAGGGAAGCCGTTACAGGCGGGACAAAAGGAAACTCACCAATTCGATGACACGCGGTGACATGTATGATCAAAATCCAAGGCCGGGTCATAACACGTACATCTCTGAGCTTTCAAGAATGCGGTTCCAACATTGCAAAGCGATCTGTCAACCACATACCTCCCCAACAAACGCCAAAACGCACAGACCCCGAAGCCTTTGCACTTTTTGTTGCAAGTCTATCCCCAAGGCGCCTCGCTCTCGATCCACAGAGTGCATCAAGACTTCCAACATGTTAACAGCTCTTTGCTAACATACTGGGCTCTTCAAAGTGAACCGGTTTTTCCATAATTCCATTGGTGAAGCGAGTACAAAAGGGACACAACCCTAAGAGGAGTGAGTCAAAACCTGAGGAGGGAGTGCGAAAGCCAGCAACGTAACCAAGAAATTCAAGCAAGAGCGGCCATTTCGCTCATGAGCGCCCGCGTGCAAAGCTTTCGCGCAGCGTTTTTGCGCGATTTCGGGCAAATATGTTTCTTGCTTCTTTCAACCTAACACTGGAGTAGCATGGCGTCCTGCGTCCTTCCCGCTGTGGGAGACTGTCTGCAAGACCTCTGCGAGACCGGCCCAGACCTCTGCGAGACCGGCCCAGACCTCTGCGTGACGCGAGACCTCTGCGGCGAGACCTCCGCGCGACCTGTGCACAGCTATTCAAGCTGGTTCTTGGGAAAATATCCTAAAAATCTCGCGGACAGTCTCCCACAGGTGCGGAAGCAATACAAAGCTTTCGCGCAGCGTGTTTCCTGGATTTCCGGCAGATCTTTCTTGCCCGCTGGACTAGTGCCCTTCCCACTGCGAGACCGTGAGACGCCAGCCCAGGCCGCAGAAAAAAGAAAAAGCGCCAGCGGACTTCGAGAGCCTTCTGCTCAGTTTCGCTTCAAACTTGTACTCTCTTTGTTTGCAAGAGCTTGGCTTCTGTGATTCCTCTACATGAGTTATTGGCGTCCCAAAAGAGGCCTCCACCTTTGACACTTTTCGAAACAAAAAGACAGGCCCAGGGAAGCGCCGAGACGGTAGTGTGCCTAGAGTCCTAGAGGGCTCCCACGCGGGCTTATTGGGACTCAGTCTTTGGCAGCCCCAGCAATCCTTCCTTGAAACCTCAATCTCCCCGCGGTTCGACTGGATTGCACTTGTCTTCACTTGTCTCGAAACTGCTCACAGCGAGATTGTTCGACCTTGACCGCTGGCTTGTGTTGAAAGCCATGGTTTGCATCTAGAAGCACTGCCAGCGCACTTTGTGTGCCTTCAAAAATGAAAGCCTTCGGCAAATCGTCGGTAGAAATACAAAAGATTCACCAGCTGGCCAAAAGTGAGCCCCAAGGATCCATCATGAGCTTGCGTAGCGGGTGAGATGTTTACCCCCTAGAAACACGGGGATCATTCGTGACTCGTCTCCAGTGCTTCACGGGGTATCCACAAATGCCAGCTAGAAATAATACAGGGCGAGTCGTTGATCCCCTTTCAAAAAGGCTAGGTGTGTGTTTGTTGCTTCCATGAGGAAATAGTCATACTCCCATATGAAAAGATTTCAGCAGAAACCTTTAAAGCAGTAATTCAGCATAAACCAAGTATACGGCGTATGCACAACAACCAGTGGACCGGATATAATGGTGACTCCTCACAGGGGATACAAGGTAATCATATTGGGGTCGTTGGGACACGAAATGGGTTGCATGTTGGCCTGTCTCTTGTTTGATGGGATCTGAGCATTCCGTGCTTTCTATGAGCTCCTCGCTGTGTCAACGTTTGGAAAACGATGATAGCTCGGCACAGCGAACAACTCCTAAGCGTGGCAAATCATGGCAAATCATCCAAAAGGGTGCTCCTGTACCGTCATTGAGGAAGAACTAGACAAGAATTCGAACAAAGAAAGCAGGAATCGCGGAACCCCGATGTCTTGGAACCCTTACCTAGTTGCTCACACGCAGATCCCATGTCTAGCATGAGGACCACCAATGCCAAACAAAGCAGGCCCTGAAATAAATGCACACACACACACACACACACGCAGAGACGCCATGGGCATTTATTGGTGACGGGACTTCAAGCATGCCATTCTCAGATGCGTGGCTTTCCTCCTGCAAAAAAAGAGAGAGAATCGGCGTCGAGTTAGGAGTCGGAACTTTCAAAACCCCTAAAAAAGTTAACTGGGCAACAAAAAAACCCAAACCCCAAAACCCCAGAAAAGGGGCGGGACTCCACGCAGAGAACTCGCTACTCGCTAAAATCAACCCCGAAATGAGGCCCACGGCCTGAAGTGCATGCGAGCGGCGCTCAGCGTCTCGTTGCTTCTCCTTGGCCTCCCTGAGACGGACCCAGCGAACCGAATCGGTGCCTAGGGCCTAAAGTGGCCTAAAGAAATCGAAGCGGTTGGGTACTTAACCCAAATTAGGTCTTAAGATCATATAGGACCTGAATGTTAGTGATGCTCCTGAGCAATAAGCAGTGTTTTTAGAGGGACCTTCCGCTAAGAACTGGGGGGATTTTTCAGAGATCTTGATGGCTTGTCAGTTTCTTCTCTTTCTTGTCTTTCGAGGATTCTGCCTGGAACCTGCGGATGCATTGGGCCCCTTCCGTGCCCCAATTGCCCAACAAACACCTGCACAGCGCGCCGAATTGACGGCCCCCGCCTGACTTTCTTTGCCACCACTACCGACATGGCACCGGGCGAATTGCGCGAAGGTCTTGATACGCGGCAAGGTCAAAACGGGACCGTTGCTTGCGGCAAGGTCACATTTTCTCAAAAGACTCTCAAAGCAAAGTCTCTTGGACCTGGAACTTGTTTCCAATGGATGTGGGAAGGCCTCTTTGGGCCCGCGCCGCCTGAAGCCGAGGCGCCAGCCACTATGCATCCAAGGCTTATCTACCCCTTGAAGTCAGCCACCATCACGTAGACTCAAACTAAAAAAATAAGTATTGTTGGGAGAAATATATGTTTCACACAAACTGGACCTCACGTTCGTTGCTCGACCCCGATGGCAGACTGACAAAGAACTGTGTAGGACTAAATCCAGCGCACAAGTTCCTAACATGCGGGCTCACCAAAAAATACGTGTAATGTAAGCATCGTTCGGATATCTGCAAACTACGTGTTCATCTAACCTCGGTGACATGTCCAGTCAATTTTTACAAAGCCGGGTCTCTGCATCTGCATTGTGAACGAGGGAAACGGATTGGCTGTGTATGTTACCCCCCAAAAATGGTTGGTTTCCCTTTGGCTTCCGTTTAAACCCACCCGAAACAGAGCACCATCAAAAACCGACACACTCATATTAGAAGGTTCAAGAATGTGTCCTTGGCGAACCAACTATAGTAACTATGGGCGTGGATGTGGGAGCATGGGACACCCATGTCTTGCACAAGAAATCGTCAAGCAGCGCACTGGCTGAGCCCATGACCGTCATAAGGGACAGGCAGTCTGAAGAGGAAACCAAGATGAGACGACTTCGGAGGTGTTGCTTTCGTCACTCACGTCTACGGAAGGCTGAAGCCCTAGCACCTGCAGAGCCCCCCCCCTCCCGCAAACCGGGCGGCAAACCGGCGCGCTTTTCGTGCTAGCAACAGGCCACGCCCCGCCGAAGCTCCTGACCGCTTCGGAAACTTCCGAATTTCAGGCGAAACCACGTGGTTTGTCTCACCCAAATGACCCCCTTTTGACCGATTCGCCTTAAAAGGCGAATCGGTGAGAAGCAGCAAATCCATCCGGGGATCCAACTCTCAAGCTCCTCCCAGCCCCGGGCGATCTCGCACGCTTGTGGGGAAGACCCTTCCAAGGGAAGCTATCAGAAGCCTCCAAAAGAGCCCCTTCAGTGAGTGGGCCCCGGGCAAAATGGCTTGTTGCTGAAAAAAGTCAACTGGGCACTGCTCAGAATCAAAGGATCCACTGGTGTGGCATCTAGTTATTCTGCTTTCGGTCCACAAACATGTCAACCTCAAATGACTGACCAAACAAAACAAGTTCATGAAGATTGCTCCCTTAACGTGCAAAACAATGCCCATCAAGGAAAGCGGCTTCTGCTTCATTTGACTCCTGATAAACTACTGAACTTTCTGCAGCGCACAAAACCCGGCTTGAGTCGACTCGACTCGGAGAACCGAATCCCATGCAATGGCTTTGAGGAATGTATCCAACTTGTTGTTTCGCGACTATCCCCATGTCTGGATCTGCAAGCGGATGTCAAATGTGTGTTGAGTGACTCTGGTTGGAGCTATGTTAGGGGCCATTTGATATAGCCTTTAACTGCGACCTGGGAGGGTCCTCGAAGTGGTCGTGCTTGTGTTCTCGGTAAAGAAAGCAGCCTAATTAATCATTGCCCCAACTAAGAACAAGCAAATTGAACAAACACTTGTGTGGGTGATGTTGCCTTTTGCTGCCTGTGTTGCCTTGTTTGCCTTTGTACAGAATACGAGTAAGTTGTAATGCTGACCCAGGATGAATCAACCTCGTGAATGACCAAGCCGTTTCTGGGTTCCCACTAGAACGGACGGCGCGACTGAAAGGATTTGCGGGCAAACAAGGGGACCCCTCAAAATGTGTGGTGTCCGGTGTCCCTTTGGTTTTCCTTGAAAACCACCCCTCCCCAAAAAAATTAGGTACCCCCCCCCCCCCAAAAAAAAAAAAAACACGCCCCAAGCACAAACGCAAACACACCAAATCCTGTAACTCCCAAATGGTCTCCCTTTTCACCAACCCCACGCCCCCCAACAGAAACGAGGCACGCTCAAAAACCACGGAGAAATGCGCAACGAACATCCGCGATCCATCGGAGTTTCGCGGCTTCCCCCCAGCAAGCGCCTCGAGGCGCGCAAAGGCCGGCAGAAGCTCGTCCTCCTCGAGACCCGCGTCGAAGGCCGCCAGGATGGCGTCCTGGCTCGTGTTTGTTTCTTCTCGTTTTTCCGGTTTTCGGCGACAGGTGAAGCTGACACTGAAAAAGACTTGCGGGTTCAACCCACATTAAAAGAATGGTTCACCCGATTTGGATGATGACAATCCTGAACGGCAAACAATGGTGGTTAAATGAACCCAACCATTGTTTTAGCGGTGGTAACTGAACCTCGTTGCGGGTGCCGTAGTGCATTATGACGACTGGGGTTTGGGAATGAATGGGAAGGGGATGTCCGAGAAAAAAAAAAAACATAGGAGATGGTTTATGGAGCACCCCTCTTTGGCGGGAAACTCAACCTGAAGGGGAGGTGAATTTCTTGCGGGCGCTCAATAGGTAGGGAATCACAAAGCGTTCGGGTTTTGGGAATGATCCGGTTTAGGGGATTCCCGAATAAAGAAAATCATAGGATGGATGGTTTATAGGGCTCATTCCAACTCATTCCCTGCTGAGAATCAGCAAGAGCCTCTTTGGCTTGCTGAAGGAAACACAATGGCCCGCGTATTTCATTTTGAGAGGCCATACTTGGGCGTTTGGCCAAGTATCCGGAACCCGGGGAGAGGATCCGTGGAAGGGGACCCTTCCTGCTTGCTCCAGACCCGTTGTCCCCTAAGGAATTTGCAAAAGAGATGCCCAAGCCAAGCATTGAAGCATTCTCACTTTTGGCAGCGCCGCGATCTTTTGCTGGCATTTGGATACAAGCGATGACACCAAGTATCGCGAGCGAAAGAATCAATGAACATGGGCGAGTCTTCAAATGGGACGAACCCCAAATTCGGTGTTCGTCCTTTGGCTTCCCTGCCCCGAAATTCCAAGTACCTGAAGATACCTTTTGGAGGGCTAAAAGTTTTAGTCCCTTATCTCCCTAGGTACCAAGGGACCCGAGTTTGGCTTCCCTTCAACCAGGTCCCGTAGAGAGGATAGAAGGGTACCCTTTGTACCTGTAGGGGAACCGTCCCCCCAAAAATGGTAAAAGGGCACCCTGTAGTGGACCTGGGCAAGCCTCAGAAACACACGCACATGGAGGTCACGGCTCACTCGCTGCGCCTCCAACTGCATCGCCAGCTCCGAGACTTTGGTTATGGCCTCCCCCAGCACTTGTCGTGCCTCGCGAAGCGAGGCGCCACGCAAGGATCAGAACTTGCGGGGTGGGGGCTCCCCAATTCATGTTTTCTCTAATTTTCCCCAGAAAGGGAAAAATCAACAACATGAGCTCACATAAGCTTAGAAGACTCAGGCAGAATTGGTTTTCAACTGGCAGTCTGGTTGTCAGTTACTGTCAAGGTGGGTAAGGTTCGACCAGCGCCTCTGGCCCTGTTGGAGCAGGGCGAAGGATGAACAAGGCTAACCCAGCCAATGTCCACTTTCGAGCACCAAACCCCTCATGATGAATAGATGGACCCGCAAGAAAGGAAACCATCGTACGGTGTGGGTTGCACCCGAAACTCTTTGCGGGATCGCTCTCATTTCAAGCTCACATGCTCTGTCTAGGCAGCCTCAACTGGCAGTTTGATTTATTTCCTTGTTGTTCCCATGAGTCACCTGCTTAGTCAACTAGATTCAAGCAAACAAGGCTCTACCAAGGGCAGAAAGAAGGAATGCTGTGCTTAGAACTCAGTCCAAAGAGTTGTCGAAGCTGCAAGACTGTTTGTTGCCAAAATAAGCAACGGTTTGCTGACCCAAGGGGGCGGGTCCCTCCAGCGCTCATCCCGACGCACCTGCTTGTCTGTCCTCAGAGTCAAACTAGAACCCTTTCGGCTTTTTAGTCTTCGCATCAGCCTATGAACCACCTTCTTGTTCGTGGGCGGGATTGCCAGGATGGCCTCTTTGGGCTTAGACAACATCTCGATCGGGATAACACCAGACCCGCGGAAACAACTCTATGAGGTTATCCTTCTCTGTGACACCAGCCTCAACTAGCAGTTCTAGGGTCAACATCTGCGCGATTCTGTGGTCAGCAGACGTTGCAGCTCTGAAAGGAGGACCGATCCCTTTTCAGGAACCTCCCTGAACAAGATCTCTGAGGGTCCCACACAGTGCCTGGTTTCAACCCGCCCCCCCCTTCCGGTCCCCCCCCCCCCACAGTTCATCACACACCCGCGGCCCTCGCGCCTCTGCCTTGTTGCTCAGCAGCAACGGCTTGGAACCTTGGGACAAAGGCCGAACCTGTGGGCTTATGGCTCTGTCGTCTGGTCGTCTGAGGTATCCTGACACAGCCGCATAAATGAGCTTCCTTGCTGGGGATGCCAGAAGGGTTCTGGCTGAACAGCCATGGCAAGTCACAACAGTATGTTGAAACTTGAGTTGGCGCCTATTCAGGTCTATTATCTAGCACCGCTTACACTAACCATGCGCACACGTATATCATACTCTGTCTCGCATCCATTTGCTCTCTCTCTCTCTCTCACTCGCTCTCTCTCTCTCTCTCTGGCTCTCTCTCTCTCTCTCTCTCTCTCTCTCTCTTTCTCGCTCTCTCTCACCCTCTCTCGAATAGCTGAAGCCAGATTAATCTTGTCAACAAATCATGATGATGCCACATTTAACCAGTTGCCTAAACAAGTGTCTTGCGATATGTCCCGGAGAAGCGCGTGCAGGGTCACCTCCAAACATGGCTCAAATGCGTATCGGTACTGATTCTCAGCAGTTGCAAGCACGCAAGCCACGAAGCCCGTAACTTGTCGCACGCGTAACGCGACCACAAGCACTGGAGCACAGGAAGCTCCTGACTAGCTACTTCTCATGGTTAGGACATCAGTTGTAGGTTGCCATGCACGGCTTAAATGTGGGAGCTCCGAACGCTCAAGCTGCAACCATGACAAGCAACTTGCAACATTTGTCAATGGCCACTTGTCCAAACTGCCTGGGCGAGCGGTCAAACAATCATTGAGGCCGGGATTGGAAAACAAGTCTGGGGGTTGTACAAAATTACTTTGCCTGGGGACGCCCCCAATCGCCGGCCAATCGCGATCCAATCGCGGTCCCACAGATTCCAATCACGGAGCAACGTTGGTCATCGCTGCTGCTTCTGTTTCGCTTTTCGCTGTCTTATCTCAAGCGCTGCCTTCCTCCATCCATGCCTGGAAACTGGAAGGAAGTGACATAGCTCGGATGGGCAGGGCCTCACTGGTGAAACTCGTCCAATCGCCGTCCAATCGCGGTCCAACCGCGGTCCAATCGCGGAATTCGGCGGTCAAACTTCGGTTTGCAGCTTCCAGACTTTGCCAGTAAGCAAATTTAGAAAGCACAGCCTGGGCCTGCGCAGGCGAAATCAACATTCAGCTTTCCAGGAGGAACTTTTGTGCGAGCCCGTGCAGTGAAAATGAGCGAGACGTGCGTCAGCACCACAATCTAAACACCACGCAGCGTCGAAATTTGCTGCCCTTTCGCGGTCCAATCGCCGGCCTTTCGCGGCTCGAGTTTTCCCAATCGCGCGGTTCAACAAGTTGCCGCTGTTCATAAGTTTTAGACATGCAATTACAGACGGCCCCCAAGTAGGAATCCAACAAGTGAAAAGCTCCAGCCTGTGCTGATTTGGCAGCTACATGTCTGGCGCTGGACACTGTGCCAGCCCTTCAGGTGTCCCAGCAAGTCCTTGCTCAAACAGTCGGTAGTCAGTGGCCCACTGTAGTGGCAAGGGCCAAGTCCAAAAACATCGCACACAAAACCCAGAAATCCTGACATGCCTCTATCCTCCGAAGATCCCATAGCTGGGAAGCGTGCGACCCGCCCCAAAACTCAATGTTCACGTGGTCGCAGCTTCCTCGAAAAATCAAATAAGTCACAATCAACACCTGGTAATAAAATGACCTACCCAAGCCAATGCAAAGAGCCACAAAGGCGGCCGGGATTGCCCCTTACTAACCTTCATCTACTCGCGTTTTGATTGTGGCTCAAAGAGTTGTAGTATGCGAGCACCCGGTTCCCCCCCCCCCCCTGGCAAGAGAAAACATCCAGTACTTTCTGCATAAGACCTGGATTGAAAGCAAAGAAACAGAAGGTCAAGCGGTAGATAGCGGGCTGTGACCCAACACTGCTCAACAGGGATCCTTACGTTGTACACCTGAATATTGCCTTGTAAATGGTGGTGTCCCTTTATTTTGGTGGAAAAAGCCATGTTTCAAATGGTTGCAACATGTATCTTTTAAGGAGCCCTGCTCAACTCAACAGGAAGCTAACCATAAACACCATACATCCCTTGTCCATTGATGACTCCTCTGGAGTACGCGAGGTGGTTGCTCGTTTAGTAGGGAATGACCCTTTTTGACGGAATGAATTGCAAGCCTTGTCTTTACTCGGTCTGCTGAAGCGACAATCGTTCAAGAAGCGGTTATGCAAACCCGCGCGCAAACAAAAACAAACAGAAGATATGTCGGCTTTTCCAAGCAGACTCAAAGCACCCCTGAAGCTCTGTTCATGCTTTTCCTGACAGCCGCAGGCCCACCCACATTGCAGCCAGCGCAACTGGCTTTGGCACCTTGTTCTGCTTTACTCGAGGCGCCTGACGGCACATTGGAAGGAAGCCAAACCTGTTCTGGACTAAGCGTACCCTCTCTCCGAGAATTTATCATAGAAGTGGACAGGGTGCTGTCCCGAAGGAAAAGTCGACTTCCAAAACCCTCCTGTTAGCTTCCATGATTGTTGCATGGTTGACATGGGTAGACCAAAGCCTCCAAGTTTTGCCCACCACACAATTGCATGGACACTTGCAAAGGCCCCAATACAAAGCATGGGCTAGTCCCCTGAAAATTGATGCCCATGAATCCCAACCTTATCTGTAAAGCATCGAAGTTCGAATACTTTTTCTCTCAAGTACAACTATATGTGAAGCTGCCATCTGGAGGCATCAAATTGACTTCAATGGAATGCTAACCATGACAAAACCAGAAATGCCAAGCTGTCGATCTTCAGGCTATGTGACTGAGGAACTGCTCAGGGGACCCGTGCTGAGTCAGAATGCCTGTGCGCACCCGACGGCCGGCCATCTGAAGAATTGATCTTGACCCTACTCAAAGAGCGATTCTGTCCAGCAACTCAGGGGCAGTCAGGGGCAGCCCATCCTCGCCACAGATGGGGTGGGCGTGGTGGGGGGGGGGGGTAATTTCACTATTCAAGTCCTAGCACGTCGTACTTCGCCTTCCCCGTTCCCCACTCGCCTTGCCCACGATGTGGCCTGAGCTAAGCTGCGCGTGCTGAACCTCCCGGCATATAGCTCTGTTTATGGTAACCTTTTGCACAGCGCTGGATGTCCATGCCGCCGATTTAGTGTTAAACGATACAAAAGCTGGATTGCAACCACTCTTGGGCCAAAATCAACTAAAACAAGCTGGCATGCTGCAAGTTGCCCCATGCCACACATTTCTGCCCTTGTACCCACTTGCCGCCCTCCCCTTCTTTTTGCACAACTACGATAGCTGCTTTTCTGGAAGCACATAGCTGCAACGTGAGGTGGGATAGTTTGTGGTTGCTTCGGTTTGAGCTCTTGGGTGCTTGCTGTACAAACAACCAAAGTGGGTGGCCACACTTGTTTCCGACTCGGACAGTCTTGCGTTTCGACGGTCTTGAAAGGAAAACCAAATCAAACTCATCATCTATAAGACTCTTTATTTGAAGGGGTCCAACCCAGTTTGAAGCATACCATTCTTGAACATGCCCGTAGGGCAGTGGAGTCGGAGACGGCCGGCCATGGCTAACGACTGGGCCGCCGGCTGGTTGTGGGCGGTGCAGAGCCCAGCACGGCAGAGGTCGCACTGCCTCTGCTCGCCCAAGGTCCGGAGAAGCTCACAAGCTGGAAGTAACCCAGAGGGTCCCTTGGTACCTTCTAAGGAGGTACCAAGGGAGCGCTCAAACCCCTTTTAACCCCCCAAAAGCCATCTTCAGGAAGTACTTGGACCCTCTGGGTAAGGAGTCGAGTGCAAAGCGTCATGGGTGGTGCATCCTTTGTTTCTCAGGGGGTTAAACGGTTAGGATTGGGATCTTTAAAAGGCCGCGACCCTTGTAAAAAAAAAAAAAAAAAACAAGAACTCTGCAAGTATCTGCCATGATTGGCAGCTTTGTGTATCCTGCTGCAAGCCCCTTGCTGAGCTCATGATCTGTCAGGCCACCACAAGTCACTGTGATACGGCAATACGTGTCCCTTGCAAGCATTGAGTGACAAGGATGATGACATCACCAGGACTCTGGGAATAAACAAAAACACTCAGGATGCATCGCTCAAGACAATGTCACGACATCAGAAAAGGGCAACCCTTTCTCCAACAAACATGAAGCGCACGCAAAACCTTTCTAGATAATAATGATCTTCCAAACCCTCCTGTGCACTGAACTGATTGTTGCAGAGAGGCTACTTCGTGACGGCTTAGTCTTGCTTAGTCACACCCAGAACTGAAAGCAGAAGGCCAACGGAAACTTGATCCCACGTGTTGCTGCAAGCGTTGAAAGGGCAAACATGCAATCACCATCCAAGTGTCGCAAATCAGCAGGTCTGGTCTGAGCCCTTCATGTCATGTCACTGTAGAACCATCCGAGTAAACAATATGTAGAATTTGTGCTGTATCGTCTGTAAATGTGTGTTTCGGTACATGCGCTTTTCAAAATTCACGATCATCCGATGCCCAGAACTTGGGAATTCAATAAAGGCGTCCTTCATCAAATGGTCCAAAATCGCTCCTTGTAGCCCGATCACCGAGTTTCACACAAGTGTCCACAAGTTGGCAGAACTAACAATGTGCATGAGCATGACACCTGTATTCGGGCTACATCCTTCCAAACACAACAAGCGACCAACATAGGTCCTTTCCCATTTTGGAAGTCGGAAACAAACGCTGCATCTGATTTGGTGAGGTACGGCCTACAGTTCACTTGCCGCCAACTGCTCGGAGCCCATGCCCGGTGCTCAAAGAAAGGAGTCTGCCTTCCCGTCGGGATCTACAAGGCGCCCTCTTGTTTACACTTTGAACATCACCGAGGAAACTCACCGAAAAGTGGAACACAGGCAATGCTCAAAACGCATCCAAACAAATAGTACACCAACCTAAACCAACCTATCTCTGGTGAGCGACCCCATTCATGTGAGTCACTTTTGAAGCCCTGTAAGAACTTCCGCTCCAACATTTGAGGACACCACACGTCGGCCAAACCTGCAAGGGCTGGCACAGCTTTCCAAAGACCGCACCGTGAGATGCACCTTGCACTAAACAGGTCTTTGACCGCCTGCAAACATACTATACATGTAAATATATATATATACATACACTGTAATATATATATATATATATATACTTATATCAATGTATGATTATACATATACTAAGTGTTTCCTAGCTAGCCAGCAGTCAGTCATTGTCCGAAAGATGAAAGGTTAAGGCCATGTCGTAGATCCTAGGACCAGCTAGTATGATGTATGACGCTGTTCAAATCACCACATATTCCCAGCAATGGCCTCATTGACTCATGCGGCCACAGCCCCTCTGCAGTCGTAACTATTCATTGTTACTACCCAGGCTTCTTGAGCTGAAGTTAGGCAAACAAACCACGTGGTTTGCTTTCCGCCGAAAGGGACACTGATTCCGTCCAGCTTGGCCCGAAACACACTGCGATGGATTGAGAGAACCAAGACTCCCTGTTGCGAACATACCTCAAACGGTGCTTTGCCATTCCTTTCTCCAGTACATTCTACGGAAATAGTGACGTGGGGTATGTGCCCTTGCCCCAAATATACCTGCATATGCCGACGTTATACAGA